AAGGATTCCGGTACGTGTTAAAACTCGAGATTGCCAGCACACGAAGATAGTTGGTGTTCGGTCCGCTGATTGGTCGGCGACCTTTGTGGTGCGTGGTGGGTTGGTGTTGGTGTGGGTTGATATCAGATGGATACCCGGTCGTGATCTGTGGTAACAAGGCGGACATGGAGGACGCGAGGGAGGTGTCGAAGGAAGACGGACAGGCGCTCGCCCAGAAGCTAAGTTGTCCCTTCTTCGAAACGTCAGCCAAGGTAACTCGACCTAGCAACACGGGCGCTATCAGCCGTTGATGCATCAATTGCTGACACTCACCGCCCTTTGTTCGCGCTCGATTTTGGGCACGCACGCACGCAGACGAGGGTCAACGTGGAAGAGGCCTTCAACACGGTACGACACCAACGCGTGTTCCATTGCGTGTGTTTGGTGTTTGTCTGCGGTGGTGCCGGTGAAACTGATGCCTCTCTTTTTTCGCGCAGCTGGTGAGGAACATGAGGGCGAACATGGACTTCATCCGACAGAAGGAGGAGGAGCAGAACAACATGCTCGACTCGCCGAGGCGGGGCAAGGACGACAAGAAGGGGAGCAAGCGCGGGTCGCGCGTCGGCGTCTCCAAACCCACGCTCGGCGGCGTCAAGTGTGTACTCTCCTGACGAGGAGGGAGCGCTGCAGCTCCAGTCCTCCTCCACCTCGTGTGTGGTACGCCCGACCTGTGAGATTCCAGAGCCTCCGAACAACAACAACACTCGGAGGAGAGGCCCAACCGGCCGACGGCGTGGCGTGATTGATTAATGAGGGAGCGAGAACGTGCAAAAGGAAGAGGACATAGATAACGAAACGAGACGAGACGAAACGATGAACAACACGCAAGACAAGACAAGGGCTCCTGTGATGGCAGCTGTAACATACAATCCATTCCACACCAACCCGGGGCTGTGTAATTTCAAATTGAAACCCCAAAACAAAATTCTTTCGAAAGATTTCTCGGAGTTGTTTCAAACCAATCTCGAGATCGCGATCAGCCAAGGTGAAGCGGAGCAGCATTTTTCGATTTTTGATCTCCTCTTCGCCCTCCCTTCCTCCTCCACCTTCGGGCCTTCTCTTCGCTCGCCATAATCTCCCGCAATCGCGATACGCTAGCCATTTTCAACAGTCGGTTGTAAAGATGAAGAGGGCCTTTGACGAAATCAATCAAAAAGAGGAGGAACAGCCTGCAGGCACGCCCACGTCAGTGGCAGAGGCCCCTGCTGCCCCGGGCGAGGCGACGGCACATACGGCGCCGGAGGACCAGTCGGCTGTGGCTGCCGACGCCAAGAAGCCCAAGCTCGAGGACAGCAAGGACAAAGAGAAGGAGACCGGCTTGGCCGGTACCTTCTTTATAATCATCAAATCAATTCTCTCGATTCTTTTAATATTTATTTGTTTATTTAATCTATTTCTTCAGCGGATGGAGGCGACCAGAAGAAGGTGAGGTACCCCAAGCGAAAGGTGGGTCTGCTGCTGGGCTACAAGGGCACCAACTACGTCGGTTTGCAGCGGTACACGCCTTCCACACGACGTGCATACATCACCGCACACGCCGCCCACGGCGCATGGGACGACGCCCACACACCCCACCATCTGATGGACACGAACTGCAGTAACCCTGGGTTCAAGACGATCGAATCGGAACTCGAGCGGGCCATCGTCAAGGCCGGCGGCATCGACGAGTGGAACGCCGGCTCCTTTACCAAGGTCAACTGGCAGCGTTGCGCTCGCACCGACAAGGGCGTGCATGCGTGCCTCAACGTCGTCTCGCTAAAGATAGG